TTTACATGCACTCGTTCCTTTAATTTTGGCCCTCCGAACGCATCATGCGTACCAGTCAGAGGCCAGCAGTAAACAGATGGTGCACATCAAACTGGGTAATTTGAGAACTTAATAAAGAAAGGAGCTAGAGTTAAAAAGTGTGAGCAGGGTATTAAGTAAGCCACAGGGGGAAGTATGGTGCCCCAAAGACAGTCCCAAAGACAGAGAACAACATGGTTACCTGAACCCAGGAAGAGAATTGTGAGTAGGGGTTGATAATGCAACCAGCCCACAGGGACCCTAGGAATCAACACCCAAATGGAACTTGACCTATTCTAGACATCCTAAACAGGAAAGCATGTCTACGGTAGAGTTCTGAACATATTCATGCCAACCCTTAGGCTCATAAAACAAGAAGGAAAAAGTAGAGTAGGTGTTGAGAAGCCAACAGAGGGTGTCCATCTATGTCAGATACTGTCACAATTTTTTGCTGAAAGTTATTTGATATTCAATGCATTCGAAAAGTGACAAGGCCAAAAATATTTGAAAAAAATGCTGAATAATCAATAATCTTCAAAGAAATGTACATTAAAACTACAATGAGAAAAAGCATTCAAGTTAGACTGGCTGTAGTCAAAAAGACAAAACAACAAATATTCATGGTTGGACAAAGCTGCTCCCGGAAAGGATGAGTTGTCAAATGAAAATCTCAGTGTCAGACATGGGATGTTTCCCCATGAGTTATTGGTCGGGGGAGAAGTCTCCCAAACAAACAAAATAGAATACTACCCACCAGAACCAGACTGTACTGCTGAAGGCCCCTCATATTTTGGTTGTAGGGCACAACAAAATCGGTCTTAAACTGATTAAAGCATTGTTTTCCTTCGGCTGGCTTTCATAGAACCGAAAGATGCCATGCATGCCCCTTGATGAGTGAAAACACTAATGGTCTATCACGCCAACCAAGGTGAACATTGAAGGATGGCTGGGTGAAGAAAGGATGAGACACAATGAAGTGGTGTGTGTGTGTGTATGTGTATGTGTGTATGTGTGTATGTGTGTATGTGTGTATGTGTGTGTGTGTATATGTGTGTGAACATTATACCACAAGAAAGAAATGTGGCTTTGTTATTTGTGACAACATGTATAGAATTGGAGGTCATTATATTAAGTAAAATAAGCCAGACACAGACCGATAAATACTACACGATGCAGAAACAAAAAGCAGATCTCATCAAAGGAGGTGGCAGAACAGTCATCTCTAGGGAGTGGAAAAAACAGAGGAAGAGGTGATGGAAAGAAACCGAAACATAGTTAGGTGGAATTCATTCTGGTTGTTTATAGCACAGCAGGTTAACTACGGGTTGTAACAATCCATATTATTACATTTCAAAACAGCTAGAAGAATATGGATGTTTTAGCATGCAAAATTTATTGATGTTTGATGACATGGAAGTGCTTTTTGTCCTGTTTGATCATCACACACAGTCGGAATATATTAAATCATGGTACTGGATCCCGTAAATGTGTACAAGTCTTATGCTTCAATTTAAAGAAAATGGCTTGGGTGCTTTAAGAGTGTATAGTTAGCTGCGGACAGACCCAGGGCCAGGACCTGCCTCCAGGTCACATTCGGAGCCCCATCAGTCCCTGAAGCTCCTTTTTTTGTTGAGACCCTTTCACTACTGGAGATGTCTGAAGGAGATATCTTCCCACAAAGAGGTGCAGGGTTTTCTTCATATAGCCTTGAGCAGCTCGTGGTTTGTGGGGACATTCTTTCCATTCCAGGACTGTGTCTTGTCTTTTGACACATACTTTGACTTATAGCCCCAAATGAGATGCTTGAAGGGATAAAGGTGGGGGGACATCACTTTTACTGTTAACAGAACAAAACAAAATAAGACAAACTTTATTTAAAAGTGCTCTCCAAATTAAGCACTCTTAATGTAGAGGCACAGTCTAGTTTATAGTAGTACCCCTTATTTGAAGGTTTGCTTTCTGCCATTTCGAGTACTCATGGTCAACCGTAGACCCAAGATATTAAATGAGAAAGTCAGAAACTAAGCAATTCACAAGTTTTAAGAATTTTTTTGCTACAGCATATTTTTTTAAATTGTTCTCTTTGGTTATGGTTGTTACTCTCTTGTGGTGTTTAATTTGCAGATTAATCTTTATCATCGATAAGTGTATACAGGAAAAAGCATACCAGAGTCCAGTACTTTCCGTGGTTTCAGACATCCACCAGGCATCTTGGAATGTGTCCTCTGGTTAAGGGAGTAATGCATAGCTTTGCTCTCTGATGGGTTGGAGATGGATACAGAGTTGGCATACTGGGTTAGGAGGTAGCCCAAGACTGTGCTGTATGTGTTCATGGACTGGGGAAGAAACGGGGAGAATGCAGGATGTTTAAATGCAACGGAACCTCAAAAGACCATCAAGTGTATTCTTCAATATCCCCATGAAAGCTCTTAAGATAAGAAAAGGAAATTCTCAAAGGTTGTTAATTACTCTTCATGGGCGAATTAAATTTGCTGAAGAGGAAAGGTTTGGTAATCATCTGAGGTCAAGGGGCCCATCCCCTTTCTGTCTGCTCCTCTGACAAATAGAGATAAAAGTTCCACTGAGTTCTCTTAGTCATGGGAAGCTTCCAGGACAAGAACTTCCTGACCCACAGACAGATTGTAGTTCAGTGAAGTCTGGAAATAGGAGACAAATCTTCTAAACGCCAAAGTGTTGCAAAGTACAGCTTGGGCTTTACCAGCCCTTGGGCTTGGTTGAACCAGAATCCAGCTCATTAAGACCTGCAAGCATAGTTCCTGGTAGGGATCATGACAAGCAGTAAGACTGGGGGTGGGGGCAGGGGGGGCTAAGCACTCTGCCCAGGTCAGTTCCTGAGAGTGGCTTGTCCTTGCTATCTCTGAGTAGCTACAACCCAGCAGCGTGGTCCTGAGCCAAGAGTGGCCATGCTGCTGAGGAACAAGGCTAATGAGTCACCTTGATCGTTCATTCTGTCTTCTGTTTGTTCTTAGGTCAGAGTGGGGGACAAACAGTGGAAGAGTTACGTTTTCATTTGATTACCTCAAAGATTCTCAGATTATTTTGCAAAATACCTTTCCACAAGTAATTAGATACTCTGAGCTAACAGGGTAATTTATATTCCTTTACAAAGAGTGACTCCATAGGCAGAGCAGGCCAAACAGAAATCTCAGGAGTTAAAGTTTCTGTTTTAACTTGCTGGTCAGTACAGAACTGAGAAACTGCCCCTCAAAGGAAATCGTCCCAAACCCCGCCCACGGGACGTCTATTTCATAGAGCGATGGATTTCCTGTGATAGCTAGGCAAGGCTCTGCCAGTCGGTTGATAATAAGTCAGCAGCTTCTGCAGGTCTTGAAAGTCCTTGAAAACCAGTTTGGGGTGGAATGAGGTGAATTTCCAGGTTTGTGTGGACAGCTGGTGTCAAGAAATGTCTGCGAAAGTCAACTGCTTTAGGAGAGTCTGGAAAAGGGAGTTGATCACCTTGAACACACAAAGATGAAGAGCTGTAAACTTACACCAAATCAGCCTTCATTTAGTAATTTGCCTCTTGTTTCCCAGAATTGAGAAAGGCTAGGATAACATAAATAGGAGACAGAGAGAGAGAGAGAGAGAGAGAGAGAGAGAGAGAGAGAGAGAGAGA